TCTCTCTCTCTATATATATATATATATATATATATATATAATTTTTTTGCAGAATCAAAGTACTGTGAATAATGTTTTAAGGAGTTATTTAGATATTCATCTATTAATTTTGTTTATCGATTGATAAAATGATGAAAGGAAAGTTTAATAGAAGAATAAACCACGAACGGTTTATGCTAGTAGCATATTCTCTCATGGAATGCTATTATATATTTGCTATCATCGTAGTATAATCTTCTCCCTGATCTGAAAGCTAACTCCTTTTCTTTGTAGTTAGGGTTTTTATATTATGTGGCGTACGACAGGTACTAGGAAATTAATCATGCTAGCACGCTGCTTTAATCTGATTGCCTAAATTCGAATCATTCTCTGATTCGTCACAATATAATTACCCATCTAGGATGGATATGGAATAAAATTATTGAAAATATGAAAGAGATCTTTTATGTGGCTCATATGAACGTTAGAGGGAACCCTAGCTAGGCGTACGCATTGAGCCCTTCAAAAATGAATCAACAACATTTTGTGTTTTTAATTTATTGGCTTCCGTTCATGGCTTGAAAGGTTCATGTTGCATCTCTTTCCAAAATAATAATCATGTTCTTTGCTATTATAAATAATCTTTTTCAATGGTATAGATTCGTACTACATTCCATTTTAAATGGTTGAGCATGGTAAAGACGAGACCCTTTATTATCATGTTAATTAATGAGGATACTCTATAGTTTAGACTAAATATGGGTTGTTTATGGGAATGGGCATGAGTTGAAAATATATAATAGTCCCTAGCTAAAGATAAATGTTATTACTGTCAATTTTTCTATTGATGAAATGCCTCACTCGGTACGTATTGGAGTTTTCTACTATTTAGGTAAATAGGTGAAGAGTGAAGATAAACATGTGGAGATTAATGTGACTATATAATAAGATTAATCAACCCAAGTATATTAAGGTATGGAGTTTTGGCAAAAGAATTAATCACACTTGGAGGCTGGTCACCTTATCAAACAGAAGGAATGTATTCAAGATGAATACAAGTGAGTGAGTGATGACCATGGTTCAAAGTGGTTCAAAAAGTGTTAGATATAAAGTTATCCTTTATTAAAGGGCTATTATTAAAAGGAAAGGGCGAATTATAATATTTTCACTAGATAGTGGTGAGACACACTTCGATCGATTTATGTATTACTGGGCTTGGTAGCACATCAAAACGTGGATGTTTAGCTATTGGACATGAAAATGACACTTCTACATGGAGATCTTTAAGAATAATATATATATATATGCACGGGGTTTGAGGGTCTAGGCAAAGAGAAACATTGTGTATCCTAAGAAAATTGTTATATAATTAACCTAAATCACTCACCCAAACAGTGGTCTAAGAGATTTGAAAGCTTCATATATAGTGGGTAATGTTAATTAGAAGCCCATGCGCAAATCGGTGATTTCCAGGATATATAGTTGGATATTTCATATCAATTATTAATATAATTAAAATAAAATATACAAGTAAAAATTATTTTTACTTTATATATCAATTCTCTAAGGTTAAACATAATGTTTAAATCTACATTTTTAGATGATATTAAAGTTTGTTCTAATAATTATTGTTAAACTGTGATATTTACTGATATTCCTTTCTTTGATAAAAAGTCTCTTCTTGACTTCGTAGTAGAGAATAAGTTTAGACTTGTATAAGAGTGAGGGTTTATGTATTACATATTATTAAAATTTTTGCAGTCTAGCTAATCTCGTAAACTCTACACTCTAGATGTTTAATTTTCTATATATATGAGAGATGTGTGTTATATAGATCTTATTCTAAATTATTTAAGTGGAGAGGATCATTGTAAATTGACTGTACAGGATTGAATTATGTTAAAAATAAAAATTTTACATTCTTAATATAATATTAACGCTTATTGTTGTTGGTGTGAAACAATAATTTCACATGTTCTAATAATATGACCAAAATGAAATATATAAATAAAAATAATCAATACCTTTTAAGCTAATTTTATAAGTTTAAATTAATTAAATTTAAATCTACGTCCATCAAAATATCACTAATATGAGATCTCTGATGCTTTTTATGATCCGGAACAAGTCATAATTTAGAGGCTAGTGAATTCTTTATCCGGTATAGGATTTGACATGATGAATTTGGAAGCAACTTGGAAGACATTGACCATGAAAATTTTCAAGGCACTAGGATGACTAAGTAAATTTATCTTGTTAATTTTGT